AACTATCGACCGAAATTAGTGAAAATATATATCCCATTACAATTTAAGGGCCAATGGTAGACTGCACAAAATCCTAATTACATCCCCAGAATACCATACAATTACCTTAATTGGCAGGTATGACCGACATCCATGATCATCATAATCAGCCTAATTAACGTTGTCATTGCTGCATATAACTTCAACATTGATAGAAACAAAATAGAATCGAATATGAGGAATTGCTTATCACGCGGCCCAGTGCCGATTGGCGGGTGTCAACGACTGCAGTTGCTAATGGGACCAGTGGCTTAACGTGTCTTCCGAAAGTTGCATGAAATCAAAGGTCGAGAAGTGTTATCAATAGCAGACATTTGCGGTCGCAACGTCCCGGCAGATAGAGAAAACTACTAAAAACTGTCTTCCTTCTGTCTTTCCCCTAAGCTGTCTTCTATCACTGTTTCCTTTTCCTCCTGCTCCTTTGGCTGATTGGGACTGCATCTCGAGGGGTCACCAGCCAAAGTTGATGGGATTATCATATCATCGTCGCATGCATTCATTTTATAGCTTTTCGCACTACACCTTTTTTACAAACAAACTCTGAAGAAAAAGAGCATATATACCTACATCCCAGCGTAAGTATATCTTTTGCTTATTAAATTCGAGAAACTTAAAATCGGCCAGTTAAAATTACACGATTAGTCCAATGTAAAATTATGTCAAAGCTCCGAATTCCCGCCTGACTCCCAAATGTTTCTTTAATTCATTAACCGCCTTTTAAATTACGAAGCTTATCAATCTTAAGAAAATATTTTCAAGTACTTACTTAACAATATTATTGCAAAGCAAAATTTGCCACTTCAAAATGTTTTTATTAATGGGTATTCAACCTTTTTGTGTCGACATAACGTCGTAATATAAAATATTAAAATCTATAATAATTTTTTTAAAATATATATTTGATAAACCTACCTGCATGCTTTTATTTATTAATTACCATAAATCTTAAGATCAACTCTTAAATACCCAGAAAGTGTTCAACTCAGGGAACAATTTATGATTCTGAGATTCCATTTGCACGTATCATAAAATTGGCGTTATCACTTACTGACGACCTTTATTCGAAGTTTACACGAACGCAAGCCCGACTCAAGCGATATCTACACGAGTTACAGCGGTAACTGTCTCACTGGCATAACTTAAATAAGTTACTCAAAGTAAAGCGAACATTAACAGCAATAAATGTGGTTGCGTAACGACAGATGTAAACCGAAATTTTATTAGAAACGTGATGAGTGCGCAACGAAATCAGTGATAATCGACCGGATTCAGGTATACGTGATCGCAGCGACACCTTCCGGCCAACGCCGAAACGTTTATTATTTTTTGATAACTCAATGGCCCATCAGTAACGGTGTAATTGCACGTTTAGCGGTTGTTGTGTTCCGATGAAAAGATAATTTCTCGCTATATTCCCACCCTTTGTGAAGGCTTAACCGATTTCCTGCTGAGGCTACGTGAAAATTTAAAACCGACTTAATCCCCTATCGAGCTTTTAATGACATTTTCTTGGAACGTGAAGCCACAAGAAAACAACCAACATGCCCGTCGACGGTTACCCGCAAATCATAGACAGAATATGCCGCATTGATAAAAATAAACGACGAGCGATATTACGAAATCAATATGAAATTGCATTTCCTAATGTCAATTGTTAGTTACGTAGCGCAATAAAGTTCCAATGATCATGATATGGAATAATTCTTGAACGATGTGCCTCGCGGTAGGCGTCCATCTCTGTCTTGTTTAGGAGCGAATTATATTTTTTATCTCTATCTCGGTTGGTGGATCGCTCGAGGTATTATGAACTCGGTAATGATCCAATCAAAACTGAAGTGCATCAAGTCTGGGCCCGCTCTGTGAGAATGTGGTTGGAGGTGCAAAAACTACAAGCTCAGATTTAAATTAGCCGACACATTGGTTTTGCTTTAACACACCTTGCTTTAAATGTGATTGTTTGATAAACCACAGTAAAAATGCCAGATTTTTTTACAATAACTATTATCAATATAAAACAATGGAAAAGTTAATTAACCTAAATTACACGTATTCAAAATGTCTCAGATATAATTTTAGGTGTCTCAGATATAACGAATGTTTTATGAAAACAAATAAAACAAATGATGAAACAAATTTTTATTTTAAAATTGAATTCTAATTAACAGTGCCTCGTTAAATGTAAGAAGTAATTTTTATATAGATAGAAATATGTTTTATTTGTAGTAAGAAATACCTTATGAGCAGAGGTCGGAATTAGGTAGAGTTATTTATGTACTTGCATCGAAATGTTGATATTAATGTGGACCTTCCCGGGATTTCTTTATTTCTTCTTTCTTTCATTGATGTAAGTTTGGCAACGTCGTGCGTGCAGTAGTTTAAATTGTGTAAAAGTAAATAACTTTTTATTTAAAACATCACGGGATTTATTCTGCTCTTTAAAATTAATCTCGGGATTTAAGGCATATCCACTTTATTCTTTCGCTGTATGAAATCAGTGTAAGTACATGAATAACTCTACCTAATTCCGACCACTGCTTATGAGTAAATAAATACCTAAATGGGGTCTAGAGGTAATAAGCGTGCAAATAATTACAAGTCGTCGAAGAAATGAGTCACTCTTTTTTACTTATTTGGTTAAGTTAATGTACAATAATTTAAAAAAACTTTTTTTTTTAAATTAATAATGACACTAAATTATCGTTTTTAGAAACGACAAAGGCAGTTAAGAAATGCCATAAATTTCTATGTTTTTAACTACACTTCTTTAAATAAAGTTTATTAAATTTGATAAATTGTCTTTGTATGTCTTAAGAATTATTTTTCGATATTATAAAGTCGCTTTAAATTTGTAAAAAACAACTATTTTTTTTTAGAATTATTAGTGCTAAGAACTTCGTCAAGATAATTTTGTCAGTATAGTTATATTCTAGTTTCTTTATTTTATATTTAAAAAAAAGATGATTTAAAATACTAGGTCTCATTAAAATTTTATCTTAATCTTTTAAACAAGGAAAGAGTCACCAGTTAACTACTTACATGATACTACAAACCAAAACATTAAGTTATATGGAATCCTCTTAAGAAAAGAAAACGGTTAACATGAGTATTATGAAAGCTATCATATTTTGTTGTGATTGTTAAAATCTATAAAATATTTATTTAAATTACCAATAATATTTTAAGCGAAAACGCCTAAAAGTATATACATGTTTACATTCTTAGAAAGAAAATAATACAATAAGAAAATATTACACTTTAAAAAAAATATAAATCACATCCAAAATCCCACGGCGTCTTCTTCGTTTTTGGTTCTTTTAACTTTATGTTGGCAACATGATAATTAAACTAAATTACCAATTCCTTAACTCCACGTTTTATAATTCATTTAATCATAATTTCGTACTCCAAAACTCCAAAAAAATATATCAGAAATTACACTAATTTCATGTAACATAAATTCAAAACTACAAAATTGCACAAACTTCAATAAGTGATAATCCTGTTTATAGCCAGTATTGCGCCAATAGGCACTAAGTGTGCGCTTTTAAAACCGATTTTTTGGAATTAAAAAATAAGTAATGGTCTCAAAACACTGGCTGTTACGTTTCTCCGATGGCTTGTAATTATTTTAAATGTCCCGCGCGCGGCCTCTTCTCAATAGTAAGAGACGCGAGCGCAGAGCTCCGGGCGATCGACGCGTGATCGAAAATCCATATTGAACCTCCACGAAAATTAACTCTTTTGTTTATTTCATTATTTCAATTATAATAAGATGAGATTCGTTGAAGATAGAAAAAGGTAAGAAAGATACTCGTAATTCATTTCTTAAATACGGTTTTCGGAAGTGTATCTCTCAAATTAATAATATAATTAATGTACCGACTAACTTTTGTCTGCATATTATAATAAATTTGCTAAAACGAATATTATATTTTACCAAACGCCATGGGTGGGCGCTTGCCCCTCTCTCATCCATATCTTAAAGCTAAATATATAAGGTTAGTAGGTAACAGAAATATATTATTTTTAAATGTTATTCATTAAAAAACCCGAAAGTTTTGCTGTTAATTGCCAGAATTCTTGCAGGCAAAATAATATTAGGTGTCATTAAGGATTGGTAATTGATGTTTATCGAGTTTTAGGTACACCCATGCCGAATGCGAATACAAAGTTTCATGGTTTTATACAGAACATAGGAAGACGTTTTATCAAACTGTCATCCCCTATTTCAACCCCTTCACTAGTTTTTTTCGTGATAAAAGATATGTCCTTTTCAGGGACGACCCGTCCATTTAGGCAAACTAGGCAACTGCCTATTTAGCGGGCGGCATGGTATGACGAACAGATTATGTTTGCTCTAATAATTTGAACTTTAAATATGCTGTACTTTACAAACATAACTTTTGTTTTCTGTCTGCAGTCATAGATTCATCCGAGGTATCCTAAGGTACATTTTTTTTTACCAGCTACCTAAGGAGTTTCTTTTGTCATTGGGAAAATTACACTTTTTAACGGTGTACCATCAATTAGTCTTTTATCATCATTCCAATGTTTTGCCTAGGGCGCCAAGATGCAGTGTTTTCCCCAGGGCGTCAAGTTTCATTTAACCGGCTCTGGTCCTTTTTCTCGGTTCATTGGTTTAAGCGTGAAAGTGTAGATAGACAGAGAGTCAGAAATATTATTAATGGGGATTATGAGCAAAGTAAAACCACACTAATAGGTTATCAAGAAATGTTGCTCTTGGGTTAGAATAGCAAATAAAGTTAGAAGAAAATGTAATAACTTATGATTGCCTTATATTATAAATTAAATCGAATTAAAAATTATTACTTTAAAATCAAATAAACTCCATGTATTAATACATATTCCGACAGATAATTACGAAAAAATATGATTTAAAGTCAAACCTTATCAGACGGCTCTGATAAAATGCTAAACTGTTTATCGCTTACTTCAAGGCAAACGTTGTAGTAAGTTCACGTGTCTAACTTCTGAGCACACCTGAGGTATGGCTAACCATATGGGTAGATTACAGAACCTATATATACCGGAAGTTAAAAAAAATGTAAGTGCTTTAATATTTTATAACTCGTGCGGTGTCACTGAATCATTTATTTCTTCTTTTTGTCAAGAGATGTCGCTGATGTTCGAAGTGATGTTGTTTTTTTTTTTATTTTACACTGTTAGTTAATTTATTATTTTACATGTTTAAGTTTTTAACTGAATACCATCTTTATTTGTATAAATAAAAAAGACTCGGTTGTCTATTTAAAAACTGTGTAAGTCTTAACCAAACCGACAGTTAAATTCATTAGTATTATATTTAAAATACAATTTAAATTTTCTTTTATATGAGTCTAGACAATCATAACACACACTCAAAATGTAAAAACATATATTACTTACTTTTGTTGTTGATATAAATATACCAATAGCCACTTTTAAAGGGGCATACATTTTCATGATTTTTAACATTTACTACGCTTTAATAAGAATTAATATTACACAACATCACATACACTGCTGAACAATCCCCGCTTAACTCTAGCTACAAAACGTTTTTTTTTTTATTTTATCAATACAGAATAAGTCTAATATATATTATTCTACAATGTTCTTATTTTATTACTTTCATATTTTATCAACGTTTGTTTGAGAGTTTCCTGAATTAAATGATAAAAAAATATATAATTAAAAACAACTGAAATAAACCAAAATGTTTCATTAAATATATTTATAATAAAAAACATATGGTGGTTAACAGTCACCCCTGCATTGGGAGAGGCTCTGATGTCTGATGGATGTACCCGAGCCTGTCCCAGGTGACAAAGACAGTGCCTAACGCATTTCCTTTTATTACCTTACATGAGTTCCAAAGAAATACTTCCTTCCTGAGTAAATAATATAAGCTATCATCTGATTTCTAATTACATCATAAATCATAATATTCAATTGCAACTTAATATGTAATAAAATAATATTTACAAATAGATGAAATAATTTGGATATTATCTCCGCAGGGAGACCATACACCTAAGGTTGTCAACTTTTATTAGAAGAAATAAAGTATGTTAGAAGTTGTTAATAAAAATAACGTAATTTTAAATAGGGTTTTAAAAAAAAAAGGTGCTTTTTAGTTTTGTTTTGTACTTCTTTGGTTACGACAGGCTTTAGTATAATAAACATTGTTTAAAAAAGATATTTTATCGTTGGGTTTAAAGTAGGTCGTTTTAAGTGATATAGAATACTTTAAAAACTCTATTTTAAAGTACGATTGGTAACCCTATACACCGTATATTTACAATGGCGCGAAACCTTTTTTAAAACATGGATGGCTAAATAACTGTCTTAATGTTTTCTCTACGAGCTACGAGTTTACATGTGATTAAGTAGATTATTAACTTAATTACACAAATTAATAAATAGTTGCAAGTTAAAATTTAGTTTACTACTTATGAGCTTAATTATATTATTTGTGTGTTTACACGTACTTATATGTTATACGTTATATGTTCAACGGCGATGTATGTTTTTTTAAGTATGTATTATTAGACATTTTCGTCAATTGTTGACCGATTTTAAAAATTCGATGAATTGTGGTTCCATTTAAATTTTATCGAAATCGAATAAATAGTTTTCTTTTTATTCTTAAATATTAAGATATATGCGTATTTAGAATGCATAAAAAATCAGGGAAGATTTTCTATATACTTTACTCTTTAAGTAACATATATACTTTACTTTTTGATTTACATTTTTTATGAAATAATGACTAAAGTATATGAGTATGTTAATCGATTTATTTTTGAATTGTGAACCTATTTCTATCAAACTAGCTATTTCCCCGCGACTTCGCCTGCGTAAATTATAGCCTATGTCGGCCGCGCATTATATAACTCTTTAAAGATAAAATACTTTTATAATTCAATGCAAACAAAAAAGCAATCCAATCTTTCCTCTTTAAAATATGAATATAGATTATTGGAAAAAAAATATGTCGAGCAAATAAACAAAATCTCCTATTCTAAGACTATTAGACTAATCCACACGACTTCAATAGCATTTTCTTGAATAAATGGCTTTTGAGATAAGTATTATTTATTATTTTTTAAAAGTTTGAAGTCGGTGCTTCTTTATAGAAAGGAGTTTTCAAAATTCTATCCATTTTATAATTAATATTTTTGAACGTTTTTTCTATATACAAAATGCAAAATACTTGCTGCTAAGTTTTGTCAACATTACCAATCAAGTTTCAGAATAGGCTTAAGTTACGAGTCATTGCATACACTGTACATTTTATTTACTTTTACTTACCTAACAGATAATGAAGAAAGATATGAGTAATTTTCCTTGATTTTGCACAAAGAGTGCACTACGACCTTTAAAAAAGTACTCAAGCACAACGGCTCGACAAATAGGCAGTGAACGGTCGGTCACGGCCAAGGTTGAACCCAGATTCGGATTTTCAAACTAATAAATCGATTAAACCGCCTTCCATTCACACAAGTTTGAAACGTGATTATACTAACATGGTATTAGTTTCCTAGTTGTTGGTCTTAAAATTTGGTTCGATAAACGTGAACATCTGTGGATCGATCATATAACAATTAAATTGAACTGACTAGTGAAAGCGCCATGTTCAACTCCGTGCTTCGAGAGATTGTCGCTAGAGCGTCGATAGAAACCAAACAAGGAACGGTCAGTACCCTCTTCATTTTACGATAAGGCCTCTGTAGTTTGTTGGCAATACCAAACTTACATTAGTTATATAAAATCCATTCTTTCTTCGAAAATGTCTTGTGTTCATATTTGCCTACATAGTGTCTGGAATTTGGATTTTAAAGTAATAAATAGTTTTAATCTTTCAATATGCTATGTTACTACGCAATCTATAGCTATTTCTATTTGCCACACTATTACGGGATCTACTTGCATACAATGGGTACAGTAGGTACCAATCGCACTAAATATTAAAGTTAAATGGCGTAGCAACAATAACATAACCCTATTGTTGACAATTTATGTATCATTGGGTTTGCATCACAGAAAAGTCTGCATTGATCCATTTTTTAACATAAAAAAATATCTCATTTGTTGTTAGATTTGATAGTTAATAGTTGTTCTATTATAGAACCAAACCAATTAACATGTAGCAATTTTAAGCCTAAGTAGCTGGTTTTCCCTTAGACTCGATCCAAGATCAAGACCCCTCCCGCCTGAAGCCCCGAGTCTCAGCCTAAGGTCTGAGGGGTCTTCACAAAAAAATTATTTTGTCAAAACGATGTTGACAATTTTTCATTAGAAAACATGCACCTATAATACTACCTATATATTCATTATTTATTTATTGTCAACTAGTTAATATTTTTCAAGACATCTAAATCGCTGAATAATTTAATCAACATTTTCTGTTAAGGACATAATAACGTTAATAGGTTACTTAGCCAGTGTCTATACACTGGCTAAGTAACCTATTAATACTGTACATTAATACTATTATTAATAAAATACTTTGATAATTATTACAAACTCAATGCAATAAGTACCTAGAATTATAAAATATTTCATATAAGTAAAACCCCAGTGCATAAAATGCCTTTTGCTCAAATACCTACCCGACATGTTAACAAAGTAAGTTTACGCGAACACTATAATAAATGTTTGATTATAAATCCCTGTAAATACTAAAAATTTAAATACCCATTTTAATATTTTGAATTAATTTGTATGCCATTAATGTTGATTAATAACAGTAATTTCCATTTAACAAACATGCAATACAACACAATACTAGATGAAGCCATCTTTGAAAACGCAAATGTCAAGAGAGAGCCCTCTGCGCGCAGTCGCAGAAACTAAATTTGACATTTCTAATCAAAACAATGTTTTTTTTTCCGTTTCTGTAGTGCTTTTTCTCTAAAATATGTAAGATAACAAATAGTTGACCACAATCATGAATAGGTTACTATAATGTATTGTAAAGTCGCCAATGTGTTAGTATTTTAAGACCAGAAAAAAACGTTCATTCAAAATGAAGTGCTGATAATTTTAGTATGTCTACTTCCATCGTAAGTTTTTTCAATGTTAGTTCATGAATTATCTTATTTGACCTTGATATTACTTATCAATATCAACCAAGCAAGATATTCCTCATTGATAACTGACCTACATTGTCATACAAAGGATAACCAACCAGAATGTGCAAGAAATGAGAACTGTGAAATGCTGATTGGAATATCTGGGAAGAATAATATTGTTAAAGAATTGAGGTCCAATGAAGAAATGGCTTCAAATACCCTTTATAGGCCTAGAAGTGCACTTGCCCGAGCACTGTATGAGAAACAACGGAATGACCGGCACCTTCAAGAGTTTGACAAAAATGAGGTGAGACAAAACCTGATAATTTAATCTTTTTCTTATTTATTTTAGACATTATTTAAGATTGATATTAAGGCTAACATTGAACATATAATATTCTTACAAGACATAATTAACAATGGTTCAACAAAAAGTAATATAAAACAAAATATTAATTATTATGCTTATATTTGTACAACTTCAAAAAGAGTTTATTCAGTTTGTTAACCACTTTGCCAGTTTTCAAGAATAATATAATATTTTTTTAAGAAGTCTGTTTGGTTATACAAAAAGATAATTTTCTAACGTCTGTTTTTGAACATTCTATTCTTTTTACACCCTACATAGGTCCCGTTAAAATTAATTAGATAAACGCTTTTTGTTAACAACATTTATTAGAAATAATGATTATCATTCGTACCTGTTGTTTAAACAAGCATCAATAAATCTGAATTATATATAACTAGTCAACATTTTGTTATAACATTAATAAATCACTTAAATTGGGGTTCAGTAAACTCAGCTCGTGGATATCAGGTTGCAAATAAGGATGGGTTGTGAAATTTTTAATAGATTTAAAGCCAGTAACATAAATTTCCATTAAAATTATTATTAGTTTTAAGCTACATTACCCATACAAACTTTGACATACTTAAGAGCTTAAAGGCGTCATTGATGTTTCTGCAACTGACTGATTGAGTCAGGGTCCTGAATATACTTTTTACTTTTATATTTGTATTTGAGTCATCAATCATAGGTATGATTCTTAACTATTACATTAAATAAGAAAAGTGACATTTATTGTTAAAACAGTTTTACATAATTTTGAGTACCTAATTTTTGGTAGTGACAAATAAGTCACTTCTTTGCAAAAAAATAAATAAATTTACATTGATGTAAACATAGATATATACAGAGTTACATTAAGAGTGTGAGAAAATCTGAAACCATGCAGATCTATTCCTTAGGAACCATGTCATTTACACATTAAAGAAAATAAAAGTTCTCAATTCAGGAATAGGACATTTTGAAAAATAAAACTTACATTATTTAGATGTAGTTATGCAAACTGGAACCAACCCACAGTTCTGTCAAAATTGAGTTTTATGTGCAGACATACCTAAAAATGAATATTGAATAGGTTTTATGTAGATCAAGGTGGTTTAAAAACTTTTAGCTACAATTATAGGAAAAATACACTAGCCGAAAAGTTCAACTCAAAAAAGATCAATTTTGTAAAATACAAAAGAGCCATTGTAACTGGTACATTAATATTTAAATAATTCATATTTTAAATAAACATCCATGCAACATGAAGCCAATTTTTATTTATTATAAGTAAGTTCATGATCAAATTGCTTGATTTTGCAAAAAAGATACAAGCTCTTTTTTCAATTGCAGTAATATCATTATCAACACTGTATTATTGTTTATACCACTATATTTATATAAATACTGTACTATATATAATACTATAGTTATTTTACTTCACATTATATAGATTTTTATAATCATTAATACCATTTGTATGATATATTGAAGTTATATGTATATATCATTACCCTCCATATAAATATATATTTCAATATACATGAAAATGAAATTTAATAAATGAAAAAATATTATTATTAACTTAATATATGTGAAACTTCTTGATGAATAAATAAAAGAAATTTAAATAAAATCAAAAAACCCATTTTTCTCTACCATATAAAATGTGGTAAAGACAAAGACCCATTTTTCTCAAAACTGACATTGTGTGGGTTGGATCTGGTTTGCATAACTACATCCATTTGTACTTAGATACCATTGTGTAGGTTTTTAGCAGTTAATAGTTAATGTTACCAGGAAACATGATGTCTTAAATGAAACCAGCAACAATAGAGACAATTTTACTAGCATAGCAGTACTAGTGTGGTTTGCCTTTTTTTTAAACAACTCATTGCTTATAAGTATGTTATGTTTACTAACAATATACTTAACCATAGTATTTTTTTGTACTCTATAAAACACAACTTATTTTTATGAGGATATACCTAATTTGTTGTAACTAATAAATAACACAAACGTTGACACCACATTTAATAAATATACCATTTTAAAAAACGATATTGCCAGTTCGAAAATGAGATTTAATATGACAGTATTCTCAAGTGACACTAAAATATCGTTAATAATTACGCTATTTCAAAAGTCAAATAATTATTCAATGTAATACACCAACTTTTTCATGAGTTATTTAAAAATATTACATTGAAAACCGCCCAAGTGCGAGTCGGACTCGCGCACATAGGGTTCCGTATTATTTATTATACATTGAAAACAGTAAAAAATATCATCCCCACTTTACATGTAAAGGGAGGTATCAAAAAAAAATGTTCCAATTTTTTCTTTTGCCACTTTGTCCTAATTAACTTACTCATGCCAAATAACAACTTTCTAGTACCAACAGTTTTTGAGCTAATCCGCAGACGAACGGACAGACGAACATGGCGAAACTATAAGAGTTTTTTATTTACGTAACCTTTTGTGTAAAGCACCTGACCCCCGCACTAGGCACTGAGTGATGTACACCTCAACTAACTGAAATACCAAGCTTTAAAAAACTTGTACATTATTGTCACGAGCATGATTCTCAATATCCCACATATAATCATCATCATCATCAGCAGCCCTTTTACGTCCCCACTGCAGGGGCTCAGGCCTTCCTTATGGATGGTTAAGGAGTATGGGCCATGACCCTCCACGCTGGCCCAATGCGGATTGGATGGTATTAACGACTGCAAATGCAGCCGGGACCAACGGCTTAACGTGCCTTCCGAAGCACGAAGTAGCTCGAGATTATAATTTTTTGGTCACCCATCCCGTGACCGACCCTTGCGAAAGTTGCTTAACAACAACGATTGTGGGCCGCAGCGCTTATCCTCTACGTCACCGAGCTACTCATCCCATATAACGGACGTAAAATTATAATTTTATAGATAAAAATAAAAACACACCCTCTACACATGTGTAACGTTTAGGTCCAAGGTGTTATGGAACTCACCAATCTCCTTTAATGAGTTTGATATAGCCTGACTTGCTGCTGACAGTACATAACTAAAAATAATGTCGCAAATTACTTCTTACATCGCTATAATTAATGTTGTCGTTCATTATTTGCGATTGTCGCTTCAAATTTCTTTCCAATTCATTTGGATATATGTTAATCATCGTTTGTCGTTGTTCAAATTAATACCACCTGATATTAATCAATTTTAACGTCTATGCTATAAAATAAACGTTAAAACCGCCAAATAAGTTAAATATTAAGCATTATTAGAACCAATATTTTATAATTAATATAAAAAATCTCGAATCACAAGTTTAGTTACCACTTGACGACTTGACTGATTTTGATGAAATTATATATATATATATATTATTCAGTAGATGTGAGAAAGATTTTTATCTATTTTTATACCCCTAAGTGATAAGGGTAATCTACCCCAAATTTATATGGCAAAACATAGTTTGCCGGGTCAGCTAGTGCTTAATAAATATTAGACAACATCACAAACATAACTCGAATTTCAAGGTAACTAAAACCCTCGTACTATGGAGTATCTGAAAAAAAAAGAAGGCACCACAACATCCAGACCCGAAAAAAGTTCATTTTGAACATTGACTTAAAGGAGAATCGAACCCAGGACCTTACAGGTGGCAACTCGTTAAAACAGCATTGAGATAACTAAAAAGATCGTTTTAGTCTAAAGGGGATGATAAATTTAGCAATTTTATTGTTTTTTTTTTTTTCGATAATAGGAAGGTAATGGGAATCATTTTGTATTCAATGGTTGTTATCTTGGAAATATATAATCGTGTTACATACTTTATAATGTTCCAATGTATACATGATCGAATAAATGAGAATAAAATCGTACCTATGCATAGTTCTAAATAGTGCTTCTCGCGACTTATATTAAAGTAACTAACAACGCAATCCATCAAGTAGATTCGTCTCGCATTTAAAATATCCTGACTAACAACTAATAACCGTAACATGAACTAACATTGTCACAGTTCCACGAATTTCCTACGACGATCAGACTAGTTTTCAAACAAGAGTACATGTAATCCATCACTGTTGAGGTGCTTTTAAACGCAGTGTATTTCGCCAAATCAAAGTCGAGCGATGACGAACCGCGTTTGCTGGGCGCGTCGTTTGATTGCCGGATCCAATTTTGTTTCCCGGGACAATTTCTTCAATCTAAAGTCACCCAAAGCTCCTAGGAGCTTTCTTCTCGCGCACGCAATCGCCGCTCACGTGTGCTACTGCCTACGTAACGAGGATATATTTGCGTATGAAGAACACGAAATACCTCTGAATTGTGGAGGGAATAAGACATTCAACCCGCTCCTCCCCACAAACACCCTGCCTCCTCGCGACCCTTTTAACTTTCATCTCTGTCGAGTGCTCGGTCCACATACTTTTGTTCTATTTGATCAATGTTATTAAAATGTCGCGAGCTTACAGGATTACAAATATCTGACTATCATATTATATTTTCCAGGATGCCCGCATTGTACGTCACTAAAGCAATTCCATAAATCCAGTTGATCTGTAATGTGATGTCTAATCACAATCGTTTTACTCATATTTTATTCATCGCGATTTTTTTTCTAACTCTAATAAAGAAATAGGCCGAAATAAAAGAGCTTAATTTTTGTGTTTGGGTTTTAAGAAGACTATAATAATTTTATTAAAATTTTAGCAGAGTTTTTTTTCTGTAAAATATAGTTACTCTACTATTATCGCTGTTACAATTTAATTAATTTATGTTTGAGGTATAGTAATTTTTAAGACACAATGTTTTATTTTAAAATGCATATTGTACTTACATCTAGAAGTATTGTACTTACATCAGTCCTTTTGTGTTATTGTTGTAATAATACTATTTTTGATTGTAATCAGTTTCGTAAGTCGAAATAAAAAAAGAATAGAAAGATTAGTATCCTTTCATTATTACCAATTATTACGCTTGTTCTAAAGCACAGTTCTAAAATCAGTTTAATCTGATTTGGTATCTACATATCTGCTAGTTTAAAATCGAAAATTGATGAAATAGTTTTTTTCCTTGACATAATATTTTGGTTGACTCAGGAAAGTTGTATTCAATGTCTGTCTTTCATGCGTTTGATCTGCAGCATATGACATCACCAGTTCTCAGTTTCAGCAGTTTATCTGCAAATTACGTTTGATTGCGCCACATGATAATAAAATGTGTGTGCGTACGCACAGCGCATCTCGGAGCGTCACACGAGATCGAGCCCGTCCGTAATCACTGCTATCCATTCTGTTAAAACCACCCGAGAATAAATTAGTTAAGTAGACGCTTCCGTTAATCGTCGGTCGGCCGGTGCCGGTCGCTCGCTCTAAATGGATTAATTTATACTTATGAGCGGGGACGTTTTCGGTGTCACGCGAGGATGGGGTGATTGTGTTGTGATTGCTTGCGCTTCCTATGAAGGCATCCTTTATTAAACGATTCGGCCTCGCCTCACTCGACTTACTGCTGTCATTAAACGACACTTTACACTTTGGCCTGGCTGGTATATAAGTTTAATGTTTGTTTTTACGATTTTCTTGTAGTCTAGGCGTATCGTTTTATTTTATACTTGTTTTTATGTATGTTATCAACATCCTTGTTACGTTATTTAACTCGAGGCAGAACATCGTTGCCGACTACGTCGCATTTGGTTATGGAATTTGCTGTCGTATTGATGTTTACATTTGATAGGAGAAGCGTGATGTCCAAGAGAGAGCCAAGACACCTGAGTCGCGGCGGCGCATCGCTCACTGCAATCTGTACATTATTTCTCCATTGTTCGCGTAACGAGCTCCCACCCCCCCAGAGAAGACACCCCGCGCTCACCCCCCACCTAGTTCCCACACCCCGCTCGAGGCGGTGGGACCTCGCTCGCGCCTTTCTTTTATCATTCCTCTCTTTATTTCCGAATGCAAATAATCCTCCACACGTGTGAGAACCGAAACCATTGTTCTCGCCTCCCACCTCCCCACACCGGGGACCTTGGTGACGCAATCTTTTTCTTCAGCATTTAGGCAAATGTATGTAAGTACTTGTACTTACCTACTTACATACATCACGCAAGTTGCTAACAAAATCCATTATTTATACTTACGTAGATAATACGCTAGTGGAGCTTTTAAGAGCCTAATGTTTGTTTATATATTACATAAAAATTTCTTGAATGACGGTAAAATTATTAAATTTAACATGTACACAAATCCAGGTAGTTGGTTAAATATTTCACCATTAGGGCACAGGGGTAGAGAAGTTTCGTCAATCTGAATACTTGGTTTTTTTTTTCAATGTAATATGTACACAAGAAGTAATTAAATAGAGAGCTATTAAATTTTTATTTACAACATTACATAAGTTAAGGTACTTACCTACTGTAATTAAAAATAAAGTTTATAAACATAGACATAAACCGTTCACGTACTATATCAGTATAATTGCAACGCAAGGCGACGACCGCCCGAGTCACCGCGAGTGGAGGACAAACAGCTCGTTAGGCCTCCGGCTAGCGGAAGGGTGGAGCGCAACGATTCCCAAGAAAAACGCTAAGTGGGAAATCAATACGTATTAGGCGTGATATCGGACCGACCACCCGTCACACCATGATGGATGAACGCGCCCAAACTTTCCTCGGCAACTCTAATAATGACAATATACAAATTGACGTCCGCGGCCGCTTCCGAAACGCGATAGTGCCGTTCCACTCACATTATGTAAACAAACGTAAAGGAAGAAAGTAGCTTTCAATTTCATAATAGAATTCACAATTACAAATGTTTTTTTGAGTCCCATCTATCATGTGGCGTCCCTGGGAGGCTCTCCCGCGAGTCAATCGTCGCATCGAATAATGCCGCCGCCTCCGTGACGACTCACAAGGAGTGCTATATTGGAGTGGATCGACAGACGGGAGTCACAGCGCCTCTACATATTGAAAGCTATTCGGAATTTGCAAATAAATACATACGTGAGGGCGGCTACCCGCCGCGGTGCACCGCGCCACCTCGGCGCATCTCTGCTGCCTCTAAAATTGAAATCGTATTTGCCGATTCTCTGATGTTACAGTTGTTTCTTTAATACACCTTTTCGAAGGACTACAAAATCTTCTTTTTTTTTCATATTCAATTCTTGATTTACGTCTAATGCTTTATTAATTTATAAATAGAATAGTGTGATTTATTTGAGTGGGTATATATATTTGACAATTTGAGTAAAATCACATTCGGAAAACTTCTCATTCTTTTAATAAATAGAGTTCACCTATACTGTTAACGCAAGATCATTGAAGCGAAACTGGCTGGGTAACACACAAAAGCCATTTGCGACGCGCCCACTTGGGACCCGTGCTGATAGTGATACAAGGTATATTTGCACCTATCTGTTCACGTGGTATACATCAATTTACCTTCACATACTAGATGAAAAATTTTATATATTTTTTTCCTTCATATTATTTGAAGAAGTTGAACATGAATGGTAACTAGAATGTGTTTGGAAAACGCTTTTAATGCAAACTACTTCTGCGTCTTACATGAGATTAAACCCGGGCAGTTGGAAGCGTAGTCCTGGGGAGCTGTATTTATGTCACCTCGGGGACGCGAGCTCTCGCCCCACCCCAATTATACCGCAGTAAAAGTCATAAAAAGACACACGAAGTTTTTACACGAACCAAGAAGAACCTTACGTGAAATTAAGAGGGGCGCGGAAATGTGAGATGAGCATGAATTTTTTATAAGCCCAGATGATGGTGCTCCGTTTATGATGTCTTATGGCGGATAATGCCCGCGCTGCACGCGTTCTTTGTTTGCTCGTGTGAATCATTAATGAGTCGACTTTATTGCATTCAACCGCGGGACGTATCAAATAATTAATTACTTTCCTCCTTGCGAGTGCAATCTTCTATATTGAGCCACGAACGCTGCAATCTTTCATCAAATAAAGCTCTTGCCTTATCGACAGTAACTCTGACACCTACGGCGTCTAAAAAGTATTACTAATAAATGTATGATTTATTGGATTTACTACTGTTGAAAAATTACTTAAGTGGACGCAGACAGTCGCCCTTTAGAACATTTATAAAACAACTTTGCCGCAGTAATTTTAGGTTGATTGTTTTGTTTTATTGTCACTTTATTACTTTTTATTGGTCTTCGCGTCTTTCAAATGACATTAATGAAAGTTTCATAGTTGAAAATATCTACAAACAGCTTAATAATATATATATTGCAGGGATACGATAAAAACAGATTTGATTGAATCCCTCCGGGTTATAACCAAATAAGAATTCGAAATTGACATATCCCCAAACAAATCTATTGATTGAATCAAAGTTAGTTTAGCGATATGACAAAATAATTAATAATCTTCTTTGGTATCTAAAATATTTATTTGATAGGATTTTCATTAAATAAGTATATAATCTTGCAAGAAAATAAGTGGCACAGGTGTTACAATTATTCCTTTATTGCGTACAACAATCAAATCTAAGATGTTATTTACGTGGTTATTTTTCATTTTAACACAGATAGAATACTTGGCTACAATATATACTAGTATGTTAGCTTAACTATATTCTGTGATATCACAACTAATTCATAACAAATCTACTAATTTCACATGTCTTCTAGTTTATAAGTTTTGTTCATATCCGCATCCCTGCGACATATACTTAGTCTAATTAAAAATAAACAAAATATTAATTTCGAATATGTCATTTTTATATGATTGTTCAGTGTCTTTTCTTATTTTCGCGCCAATTTATAAATATAAAAATTAATTCCTATTTCCTTTGTTCACGAAATCACATGTGAACGGCTGGGCCGGTTTCGCAAATTCTTTTTGTTGTTGTTTGTTATTGACAGGAGTAGGTTCTTATGAAAAAAAAAAGGAAATTGTGCGGGAAATTTGAAAATTTAAGAATATTTAACCACCATATAAAATTATTTCTAATCTAACCTTAGTGCATTGGACAATATAAACTTTTTTATAACGTTTAACATAGAATTGACAGAATGCGTGCTGCAATTTCATAATTAAGCCAGAACAACGTCTGTCGGATCAGCTAGTACATTATAAAATATTTCGTGATATTAAAATGGTGTGGTGATAAAGAGAATGGCATCGCTGTGATTGCATTACATAAGTACATATGAAGCCAAACACAATTTTTAAAACCCTCTATACACTTGGTACTAGTCAAACGTTTGTGTACCCGGCTATTGATAGGACAATGAAACTTTCTCTATTTGTGACAGAAAAAGATCTAGCCGTCCACGTAGTGTTCCTACGAAAAAGACGATCAAAGCAGTAAGGGAAAGAATTCGAAGACATCCTGAACGAAAGCGAAATATTTCAAAAACGACTTAGGACTTGCAGCCTATAAGAGACGCACTAGTCACTTCTTAAAAGATAATTTAAAAAAGTATAGGGTGGTAAAATCAAAACAAGTGCTTTAACGGCATCCAAAGGGAGGTCATAGAAAAAAATTGTTTACGGATGAAGCAATTTTTACAATTGGGCAATATTTTGACAAACAAAATGACCTTATTTATGCTTTAAAGCTTCACGATTAGTCAAAACAATACAACATGGGCGTTATCCGACTTCAGTATTGGTTTAGTGGGGTGTTAGCTATGAAAGAGTGACTGAGCCATATTTTTGTGAAAAAGGCACCAAAACATCGGCACGAGTGTATAATGATATCATCAGAGCTCAAGCCTGCCCGTCATCTAGTCCAGATCTTAATCCGCTGGATTATGATTTATGATCAGTTTTAAAGAGTTAGGCTTGCTCTAAACGCCGTGATAATTTGGAGTCCCTAAAACAATCCATAAGATCGGCAGTTAAGAATTTCCCATGGAAAGTGCGTGCGTCTATTGATAACTGGCCTCAACGTTTAAAAAACTTTATTGCAGCCAATGGAGACCACTTCCAATAAGCATATATATTTCTAATAGCTTTATTTATATTAATTTATAAAACGAATACGCTGTAATAGTAATAAATGTAATGATCAATAAAAAAAATATATATTCTATGTTACAATATTTATGGCAAGACTATGTAAACATGTATTGTAACTGAATGTATTAAGGTGTACATACTTGTTATATTCTAATGCGTCATTAAATAGCTGATTTTCAATAGCATGGAAATGTCTAGCTCTGGTTTGTACCCATCCGATTACCATTTTCTTTTGTAAGTACAACAAGTACCTAGAATTTCAAATTGTCTTCATGAAAACTACAATAACTGCGTCACTAGGTAGGTGCCACTTAAAAACACTTACTCGCGTATTGTTTAGTTTCGTCTTCAAATAATACAGATATCTATGTATGTTTAAAGAATAAGTCCCATTAATTATAAATAATAAACAAACGCACAAACTTCCATTAATAAATTTATTTATAAATGGTACACAAACAGATCATAATCAAAAGAGAAACCTACAAACATATTTAAAGTATTTGGACTAGACTATAATCTAAAAACAGTCTACACCGCATGAACAATATTAACTTACAACAGGAACAGATACTTAAATAACTTTTAGTATACAGTAAATTTAAATATTAATTAGTTTAAAGGCAACATTACCCATACAAATATGACATTCATTAAAGATTAAAGGCGTCATTAAACCTTAATAGACATTCGTGCAACTGACCGTAAGTCAATTACACGAGAACATCATATAAAATTAATATAACTACTATTAGAAAAAAGAGTAGTTCATAATTTTCAATAATATCAGACAGTTTCAACATAAAAGTGTATATACTTATATACTCATCTTATAAACTAAATTAGTCGCACGTCGGTAATTAAAGCAAACCCCAACGGATTTGTACTCGTTTGATTTATCTTGACAATGGTATTGATTTAAATATTATATTCAAGATCTAAATGGAACTGGGAGGTTGCTAAGCGAACTTTGTAATTATATACCGTAACCCTGTCGCGATTAGGCTAGTTTGAGTTATTAATATAAGTTTTCTGGTCCAAGATAATTATGAACAAAAAGCTTATTTAAAAAAAAATAACTGACATACTGGAATGTACGTTATGAACATTCTTTAGTGCCTACCGTT